TGTAGCACTGACTAGTCATGATCTCTCACTTTCGTCAAGCTGAGTGCCGTTTGAAATCCAAGGCCCAGGTGGTCCAGGTAGTGAAGGGCAAAGTTCATTGCAGCTTGGATCAAAAGTTTGAAGAACTTTGAAGATCTTTAAGGCTTTGGACTGTGTAGTATGTCAAAGTCTATTAAGATTGGACAGATTTGGACAGGATTTCTTTCATTAGCCTTCACACCGCTGAACTGACGGACGACCAGGGATATGTTCAGATTAGATCAGATTTGCTCAAGTTGGCAGATGAGCCAGTCGACAAATTCAGCGGAAGTATTGCAAATATTTGCAAATTGGAATACGTTCCTTGCACGTTCTTAACCCAATTTTTATTGGGGTAGACGGTAGAATCAAACAGTTTAGTTTTTGGATGATTCTCAAAAAATGTTTTATAAAGACCGGGCGTTCGCCCATATTTCGGCCGTTAATTGACTCATATTTATCTGTAATTTCGAGATATTTCGAGTAGCCAAGCCTTGGTGGTTCAACAAACAAACTTGTGTTTTTTGGCAACCCCCCCAAAAAGTAGGTTAATTATGGAGGCCGTGGGTTGCAATGAGATGGCAGCAAGGAACAGAAGTGCATCTTCTCCCATGCTGCTCAGCAGAGAGAGCACGCCAATTGCATCTACAGATCTTCCAGACGACCAGTGGCTTGACTGCACAAGGGCTATTGATTTCCAGCAGAGAGTCCCAGAAGTGTTTGAAAGATTGATTGATTTTATATGATTTTATGATGTTTTTTTCCACAGATTCAGGACAGGGTTATGGTCCAGAGCGACCATTAGGCAAAGACATTGAATGTAACAGACATTTAGTGTGAGAGGTAAAGCCGTTCTATCTGGTGAAATTGCACCAGGAACAGGAAGATGTCAATTTCGCACATCTCCCCATGCTTCTACTAAAGGGAACTCCTTGGTCCTTCGGAGTTTGTTATCGCATGTGTGCTGCTTGAAACAGTGGATCCAGGCTTTCTGCTTGTTCAGCTCCATCGGGAATGCTCAGTGAAAAGGAGGCGAAGCACATGTGCCTTGGATGGACCAGAGTGCCTCAAGGTTGCTCCAGGTCCGTTGGCCCGTTGGCCAAAAGCAGACTGTCGTTTGTATCGGTTGCTCCCTGTGGCGATAAACCTCTAAGAGGCCCTAAGACACCTAAGACAGAGAGAGTGAGAGATGTCAATGTCAGGCTGTGTTTCCACTGCGGTGACGATATTGGATTGCGATCCTTTATGGGTATGTTCATTATTTCAACCTGTAAGATCTGTAAGCACAACCAATCAATAGATCCAACCCGCCATTTTCAACCCGTTTAGAAGCTAAGAACTGATACCACTTGTCACACGGATGTGCTCTCTGTCAGAATCCGCAGCATGAGATCACTAGCTCACTAGCTCAGTGTAAGCCTGAGCCGAGGCGAGGTGAATGTAGCCTTGGACTCAGTTAGAGCTTGTCACAAAAGGAGCTGTGATGCGAAGAGGTGAGATGAATCGATGTGCTGATGCCTTTAGAGAATGCAGTGCGCAGGGAATTGTGGGATTCTGTGGGTGTAGGGAAACCGCAAGACTTGTGGCACAGTTCTCCCCTAAGGACCATGCGCTTACTTCAATTACAAGACTCTTGGCTGTATGGAAGAGAGCAACAAAAGCCAAACCTTCACGGGTGAGATTCCCTTTTTGTCATGGGTATGCATAGCAATCATAGTATTTGTGATTTTGTTTGCAGGGAGCCTCCATTGCGTTTCTAGAAAGATCCAGTACTTTGTTGCATCGGTTGGTTTATCATGGTTTATCCATTTTTATCATTTTTTATCTATAATTTGTGCCAAGAGAAGCTGGAAATCCTAAACCCAATGGACTTCATTGCTACACCTGAGTCCATGAGGAAAGATGGCTGCCGATTAGGTGAGAATTGTCACTTGCCTCAGAAATCAGAAGCATGGTGCTGGGGTAGAAGTCAGCTTCAGGGTATTTGGTTTGTCCTCAGCCTCTTGCCCAGACAGCAGAAAGCATGAAGCAGTGACTTAGTGATCGAGCGTGAGCTCATCAGTGTTACAGCTCCAGTCGTATATCAATGTCTATCCACATTATCCACGCCTTTTCCAGGTGAATTCTGCCATCTATGCTCGCGTGAAGCGCGAAAAAAGAAGGAAAAGCCGAAGCGATCCAGGCCGGAAGCGCACGACATGGCATACCATGGCATACCATGGCATCGGTCCATGGTCAAAGTCAGCTCAAAATGCCCTTTCTGATACAAAACGTAGCGTTTTTGTGTACTTCTTGAGCCAAGTTTGCCAAGATTCGCTGCGTTTCGCTGGTCCAGGCAGCGGCACCCAAGGAGCAGAAAGGCAGATGGTGAGGATGAGTGAAGAGGTGACGATGGCAGACTGCTTGATGGACGACGGGAGAATATGGAAGATATATGAAGATATATGAAGATATATGAAGATATATGAAGATATGGTGATGGCTAGGGGGCTAGGGATGGCTGGAACTCGGCTGGGATGGTTTTGAATGGTTTTGATATACCCTCCGGCACTCCAACCCGAGCAATGGAAAATCCATAGGATCTTGCCGTGAAAAAAAAGGTGATTTCCCCGAGTTTGGCTCCCAGAGGGTGCTGCTCATATTTGCTGACCAGGAGTGATGAGTGACGCGGCTTTACCTAAAAAGGTTGCAGCACCCTTGCTGATCACGAGTTTGAAGCTTAGAGGTAGCTGGATCCTGCCGAGTGTCAGAGAGATTTTGGTTGGGTCATTCCAGATCAAGTGGCGTGTGGGGTAGACAATTGTCATGAAACGTCAATCGATAAACCAATAGTAGTTGAGTGGCAACACTTTATAATAGTCACCAAAAAAGTTATTAATATATATATATAAATAGGATATAATTTGATATAATTATGTTTGCACATGTCATATATGCAGATAAGTTTACACGCACACACACACATATATATATATATATATGCATATATATATACAGGCATGTAGTATTTACTGTATCTCTAGTGCACGTTTGTATATATATATATATATACGTGTGTGTGTGTGTCAAAAAGTTATGCTTATATGTAGCAAACACAATCAAATAGAACTAAAAAGGCAGGGCCGTCACAGCGCAACAGAGTTTGCGGGTACCAGCATCCTTGGGTGCAATGCATTTGGTGATGTTCCAATCTCAAGCTACCTGCTGTCACACCGAGGATGTGCATATGTTGGGAACTGAGGTACTCCTACCTGCAGGCTGTAGGCATTGTTCTTAATCATTGCAATTCTTACAGTGCCATCAGAAGACAAGGCCCAAAAGGTGCAACTGAACTGGCGCAGAGTGCACGTATGCTATTTCCTTCCATCGTTGTTTACTTGCCCCAATTGGGTTGATTATCTACAAATCTTCGAGCACATCCCACAAGAAAAAAACAAACAAACCAATAATAGATGCACAAGTGAATGCCATTTTGCCCGGCCAATTTTTCTCCACCCATATTTTACCGCCCAGTTGCATTCGTTCAACGGATCCTTGGGGCTTCAGAAACGCCTTAAGAGCGGATCTCGCCTCCACGATCCAGGGCCGGCCCCATGGGCTAATGGCAACGGCAATTTTTGGTTGGGGTTGGCGCAGTAATGCACTCCCCTGCATTTCCAAACATTTCCCACACTTATTTATAGGATTTGCATAGAGTTGATGTAGAGTCTTCTTCTAACTTGAAGGACCTGTGTCGGCACAAGTTCCATGGTTGCCTTGAGGCTGTTTGGAGCAATTGCTTGTTGGGAAACAACAGTGATACTATATATATAATTACAGTTCATGGTGATTTATGAGTTATGAGAGCCGCCAGTCAGTCGCTGTCATGAATCAAGTCCAACAATATGGACTGAAACTATTCGGAAAATGAAGCAAAGAATCATCAAATTGTTTGCTTCACAAACTAAGGATATGAGAATGTAACATTTGGACATTTTTGCTACAAAGCTATCTTCGAACCCCACAGATTTGCAATGTTACAAGTCAGATGTCCTGTCTGGTTTTCGTACGATCAACAAGGCTGCCGGAATCCTTCAAACAAGGTCCTTCAAGCACTTGGATGGTAAGAAAAGGTGAGTCATGTTGGGGTCGAGGTGGTCGCGGAGGGGGGCACATGAGAATCATGAGAAAGGATGGTTTTCAGCTGGCAGACTGGAGAGCCTTATAAGAGCACAATGGAATGAATTACCCGTTGCTCATTTCCAGTGGTGGTTTTGTAAAGATGTCGTAGGATGCCGTAGGATGCGTAGAATTTTCTAGAGTGAGAGGTTTTCCATTTGCGATGTCAGATGGTCTTGCGTGCTTTATAAGAAATGAGTCACTATAGAAAAGGATTTGGGCATGCAGAGGGCCAATATTTTTTTTTAGTTTCTTAAAGAACAGGTTGTCGTTCACAGCACAGCAACGATTGACAGGGTGTCCCTTGGTGTCCTTGTGGTTCACTGAAGCAGCCTCAAACCTTAATGCCTTAAGTGCTTGAATATCACTAACTCCAATGAGTCGCACGATCTAGGCGTTATAACTATGACATTACTATGACCAATTGATGACATTTTAGTGCAAGATGCTGAGGCAGTACCCAATGTTATCAATGTTGACACAGTACCAAGAAGGCTAAGAAGGTCACACGAGTCACACCTTTAGATTATTTTTTTTCATCACACAAATATCTCATCCTTTCTCCTTGATATTTGAGAGAAAGATGAAAAAACTGTGGAGCTCTTTGCTCTTTGGACACGTGGTTGGACACGTGGAGATTTCGGAGTGCCATGAGTGACGCGGTTGACCCGGTTCCCACGGAGCTTCGGGCCTTGAGCCTAGACTCCTAGACGGCTGAGGCTTGTCAGGCCTGTCAGGTACCATGGCTGCTATTTGCCAAATCCTACTGAAAAAATCACTGCACAATAAACTTAGCATACTCAGCTTGGAATGGAATTTGCAAGATGCATAATGTTGCATATTGATCCATCCAGTTAAGTGCATTTAAGTGCCTTTCCGCCTCTTGTAGTTTTTTTTGCTCAAGTTGCCCTTGCGAAGATGTCAGACCCTCACAGCAAAATCGAGGATTGCTGAGGGTCGTCATCGCTGGTTGTTTTTTGTTGTTGCTGCTGCTGCTGCTGTTGTTGTTGCTGTTGCTGTTGCTGTTGCTGTTGTTGTTGTTGTTGTTGTTGTTGTTATCCCATACCAGTTGGTTGATCAGGGTTCCCATTTCGCAGTAAATCTATGCATTAATCTTAGAACCCCCTCAAACGAGTTAGCCACTGAAAACAATGGAGAGACTGTGATGATCCCTTTGTTCCTGCTCTAGGCCAGTCACACGGGGCAAGACTTGATGTCACTGCAGGACGTTCTGAAGCTGAGTCTTGACGCAGCCGCAGGAGCTTGCAAAGTAGTTGTGTTGGGATAGTTGGGTGTAGTTGGATATTTTTCTGAAAATGAGGGGATATTCTAGCCAACAACATGAGGCTTCGGGCCCGCAACATGTGTTGGGAGAAAACTCACATCCACATTGTTCGTTTCGATCTTGGTTTTTGCATTGTTGCGGGCTCCGCCGATTCATCCATTTGTGTTGCTTGACCCCTAGTTTCGGACAAGATTCATGGTGTGGCAGTTAAGTAGGCTGGTGCGCTTCTTTGGTTGACACTGCGAGTCACTTGAATGTGCTATTGAGCTCTCGTCTGTCGGTTTTACAGATCTTCTGGGTGGCGTGCCTCATTCAGAAGTGCAAGTTTCCAATATCCAGGAGAACATATAGATGTCTCATGCGCAGCTGAACGAGAGCAGGTTGCACAGCTGCAAACCTGAAGAGTGCTCATGAAAGGCTCATGAAGGGGTTTCGCAATCACATCCTATTCTTCTTTCAAGACAATTTTGCTAGTTCTCCATTGGGTACAGTTGCCAGAATAGCCAGTTTTCAGATTCTCACCCCCCAGGTCACCCACTCATTGATCTAAGGTGTTCCAGATCCTCCCGGGCCTTTTCTTGGGCTCCGAGTTTGGTGCTTCCAATTCCTTTGTGATAAACAGCTGCAACATTCGTGTGATCATCAATCTTACAAGCCCCTTGGCCACAGAGTCAGTACAAGATGAACATTGATGCATGGCTGGACGGTCGTAATGAACTCAGCTTTTGACTCCTCTTCGCTGTTTATGGGATTTTATAGGCGCATTTTTGATCATACTGCAAAGTCTTCAAAGGCATGCAACGGGGCCTGGGAAAAAAAACAACAACTTTCCATGGAACCTATCAGCACAATAATATTGGTATATGATATATTATATGTAAAATTGAGTGGAATCCACTTGGCTTCACTGAGGCGGCCATGCGAAGATCCCGAACCATTTCGACAAGTGCAGGCGATGCTGGCTGAATATCGCCCAGATGTGGTAAGACTTACTGCTAAAGATATGATGCTAAGACTGCTAAGATATGCTCAGTGTGTTCAGCAGATTCCAGCTGAGTTAGACCGTTAAATGCAATATCCAATTGGTGGTGACCATCAGAGATGCTGGTGTAAGTGGCAGTCACCCCATTGAGATACCGATGACTGGAAACTTTTGCTTTCAGCTGTCCCAAATTCAGCAGAGAGGTACGTCAACTACGAATTGGTGGACCAACCTGGGGAAGATATTCTGAGCCATGCAATTCGAGAAGGTGTGAAGGAGCTGGGGTTGCATGGAGGGTACATCGAGGAATATACAGTTGACCGATGGATGTGTTTTGAATTTGTGAGACCCGCTTTCCCGCATGGTTGAAGTTTAAGGAACCATAAGAAAACGTGTGTTGGGGCACCTCCCCAATTTTTTGTCACCCATGCCATTCATCGTAGCCTCAGAGGAGATCCATTCTGCTTTACAGGCCAAAGAACCTGTCCACGGCTGAGAGGTATCTTCTGGCAGCTTTAATCAAATGTAATCAACAAATTGTCAAGGCCCAAGACAGACTTTCCTCCACAACCCCCCGTCACCATGGTGGCGGTGGGACTGGGAACGTAATTTCACTCTGGCCTGGAGTCGACAGTGATGTGTTCAGACTCGATGCCAATGATGCCATACTATTCTCACATATTGCCATACTATTGCCATACTATTCTCTGGCTGCTAGGTCATGGTCCATTGCTCCGCAGCACTCAGTCGATCTGCCACTGCAACTTGCTACAGGGAAGCATTCACACCTCGAATCTACTCGCTTAGATTTGACTAGTGGATATTCGGATATATTATATATAGGATATCTTGGGGATGTTTGTTCCATTCTCATTGAAAGTGCTCCAAGACCCTCAATGCATCTCATTGCCTTTTCTTTCGCACTTTGTGTCTATATGATGTTTGTTGGCAGCACCTCTTGTTCAAGGGTGTCTCCTAGTTCTCCAAAGTTTGCTTGATTTTGCTTGGCGGTAAGGCCAAACATGCCACAGACTTTTAGAGACAATGAGTGAATGACTTTCTTTAGACAAATTATGTAGACGCCTATATCCTCAGTTACAAGTATATGAGTTACTACATATCACTAAAAGGACCAACTGGGATTCACTCACACATCCGAAAGGGGTGGTGATTTGGTGGATTCTGCTCAGGTGGTTGTGGCGTACGTCATGTGCTACGAGGGGAAGAACTTGTCTCAGGCCGTGGAGCACGTCACGCGACGCCGGGGCAGGCGCCTGCGCATCAATCCGTCCTTTTGGATGGCACCTTGACTTGGCTAAACTTTACTTCGATTTACAGCAAGTGTCAATATACGATAATAATAATAATAATATACGTATATATATATAGTTGTTATATTTTTTAGTTGTTCTATATTCTTCCTATGAGACACGGTCAGATGGTCTATCCATTTCTGTTTCAAGCAGGATTTCAGATCATGAGATGGCCATTTGACTTGGGATGGAACATCAAATGCCCGTCTTCAAGGCCTTGGCTCAATGGGAACGAGAGCTCCAGGACGATGACTCGGCTATGCCAAGTTTCGATTTTACCGATTGGTGGATCGAGGCTGGATGGATGTGGAGGGAATTTCTGTGACATTATGAGATGTTTTGATAAGTTTTGATGATTTAGAAGGTGTATCATCCAACAAATCCGGTCATAGCTTGGGATTATTTCGCTTCTGCCATACCACAGCATTATTTCAATCTTGAACAATGTGTAGCGAGGTGTCTAAGTGTCTTTGGCCAGCTTGGAGGAAAGCTTGCTGTGCACTGACTGATGTGTTCTTGATTTATATAATCAAGCCAAAAGCTGAGACTTATTGGTCTTTTTATGTCTTTTTCAGACAGTGTGAGATGGAGTGAGGTCTTTGGCAATATGGGCATCCCTGATTCTTGGCTGAACCTTGAATGTCCTGACATCAGCGGCATGCGATGTACATTCCAAACCTCGAAAGACACACCTTGCCCAGGAGGACAAGATACGTCAGGCGCTGATCATTGGCAACTGGACCAACTTTGAGAAGGCGTTTCAATCGATGCTGGAAACTTGAGGACAACATTCTACAATGATACAGGCTTTGATTTGGTCACAGGTGGTGGGCTTGTGCTTCGGAGAAGCGAGGGAGCCCAATATAGGCTGGGCCTTTGGCAAGTGGGCATCCACAAAATTCAATGATGGGAAGCAGACCACGGTCATCTTTATTTGAAAGAACGTCGCTGCCACATTGGACGAGGGGCAAGTTGCACTGTGGAAGCAGCAGTCTTAGCTACAATGACCATCAACCACCACTTCGAGTTCTTTATCGAAGGATTCAAAGCAGACAGGTGAGCCCAAATGCCTCGTAATCCAGAGCGACAAAGATGGCATTGACCATCCAAGGAAAGGAAACTGTCCTGCATGATCTGCATGGCAATGGCATCATTTGTATAGAATTTGTATAGACCTGCAAGATGTTCACCAGGTGATCCAACAAAGATGGCGGCAAATTTTGACGTTTTCTGATTTGGGACGCAGCTCTGGCTTCAAATGCAGCAGCAGGACTAATGAAAAAAAAACGGCGCTGCGTAGGGCACTGCCATGAGGTTGACTTGATGCGGTGTGTCGAACTTGGTCCAAGCCAAGCTTGGGCTACAGCTGGAAGTGAAGTCATGAGGAGCTCATGAGTGGTTGCGAGGGCATAGCATAGCATAGATGAGTATTGGTTCAATACTGTTTCCTCTCACTGACTTGTGCTGGGCAGCTGTGTGCTGCATGTTTGACACAGATGTGCCCCTCAGACACCGAGATCGAAAGCAGAGAAAAATGTTTGGCACCCACGTTTTGCCATGCCACGTTTCTGAAAGAGCTGCTTAGCCTTTAGAGTCTTGTTGAAATGGAAGGAACGCTTTGATGCTGTTCTGGTTGAAGATTGCGTCTGTGGGATTTCCTTGGACAGCAATCTGGAGTTCAGCCAGAGGACGGGATGAATCACTGACAACGATGGACCCGTTGTTGCAAGATGTTGCAAACATGAACTGAAATGCGTGTGTTTACAGCTCCACTTCAGTCTAGATGACGGATGAATATAAGTGTGGCATAGTGAGGCTACGAATGGCTGCAATGGGATAATAAAGGCAAGAAGACTGCACAAGCTGCAGAATTTGAAGCCACACTGTCCGACAAGAAACATGCACTGAAGCGACTGCGACTGAGGCTCGCTTCACTGCAGCTGGTCAACAGCAGGCAGAAGTGCTGTCGTGTTATGATGGTTCATCGATGTTTCTATCTGAAAATTTGACTGTTTGATTGCAGTATACTCGGTATATATTTGGAGGATGCAAGATTATACGTGGAGTTTTCATTCTATTTCATTCTAAAGTGCGAGGTCTTTCACTTCATCGACTCAAAGCTTAGCTCAGAAGATGAAGTCAAAACATTGCTGTCACAGTGGGGGGCTTGGCTTCGGAAGCTAGCTGAAGCAGAGTCAGGCAGAGAGAGAGAGAGAGAAAAAAAAATCTCTGTTTACATTTTTCATACAAGAGTTTTCCCAGAGCAACAGTATCAAGATGGACCAAAGTGAGGATCCATAATATGGATCCATTGGGTTGGAAAAGGATGAAATGGGGAGGCATTCTGAAGCTCATGAGGTGTGCGTGAATAAGAAGAATGGTTTGCCAAGCATTTCTTTGCGAGTCGCCATTCGCTCACATTCATGATTCTCATTGATTCACGAATCGCTCATGACTGTGCATTACACTACAGTATGCGTGACAGACTGGTGCTGGAAAATGTGCAACCCAAGGCTTGCAGATATAGATTTGGAGTATGTGGCAAATAGCTTGAAGTGCGCCCGTGGGCTGATGATAGCCGTGTAGCGGGTCATGCACAGAGGCTAAGACTGGGCAAGACCTTACACAGTGAAAAGACATGAGTAGACTTTCTCCTATAAAGCAAAGATGGGTCTTCTATATACAGTATACAGTTTGCTTTGTTGTTGTTTATGTTTTTTTGTTCTGACAACGCTGATGGCAAGCTGGCATCCGTTAGACACGGAGGATTCCCCAATGCAATTTGAAAATTTTGATTGCTGAGGGCAGTTCAAGCATTTTGATAGCTGTTGGGCAGCTGTTGGATCATGCAGGAGCGCCCAAGCAGAAGTGGCTGCAATTGCTGAGGTCCCATGGAAGGGTTGGGAGGTCCATTGCTGGCAAAATCCTCATGGAGCAACGAGTCAAAACGCTCCAAAACTTGGTAGGTGAACATCGAGGGGGTATCTATTCAATCTATTCCACGCTAAGCTATTCTCGCGCTCACTTTCTGGTTGCAAGAGAAAGCGAGATCGAAAGAGATGCCAGCAAACAACCGCACAGGACAGTGTGGGAACATCTCGAAACCTTTGAAACGATTCAGAAACTTCTGGAGTGAGTGACCTTTGTCCAGCACATAAACACTACCATGAGTATTCCATGAGTAGTGTTTGAACATGTTGCATCGAGATGCATTGAGAGGCGAGCGACTTGGAGCCATCTGACGACTTCATGTGCCAGGGAACTTGGACCAGTTTGCTGGGAAACGGATGGGCCTTTGGGCCGAAGATGGGGGAGTTTTGATGTGCTTTCATGTCATCATGGATCGACCCACAGATATTCCAGTGGTGAGGAGATGTGAGGAGAAAATATAGCAGCAGAATGTACTTGTAGTTGGGCTTGTGGCAATGGATGCTGATGTCTTCACAGACTGTGACATAGATGTTTCATGATAAACTTTTTGACAGACAAGACGAAGAACTGGCCAAAGCGGAATGGAAGGGAATGATGCCGATGCAAGGCAACAAAGCATGACAATTGCTTTATATAATTTATATGGTTTTTGGTTCATATGCTTGATATGTTTGATCTGTTTTACTTATACGCGGGTTCCATCCTTACAAATTTGGGCACTTCCGGATACAGATTGAGAGCAGTTGTTGAGGATGATTTCAGGACGATCTCGTGGAAGCCAAGCCGTGCTGCACAGGTCTGGCGGATGCTTCGGCAGATGACATCGCTGTATGGGAACTGCAAGGGCTGGAAGCTGTTGGCCGGGACCACAGATGGGAATCACTCGGCTGCACATCAACTTTCTTCTCAATATTTCAAATGTATCTCAAATCTCAATGTCATTGTGCTCTTGCTTGCTCTTTACTACCTGAATCTAGTTGAGTCCCTTGACCTAGAGGACCTAGAGAAAACAACTGATGAACATCGATTTTCGCAAACTGATTCTGAGGTCGTGGCGAGGCAGGAGGGCTCAGAGCAAGCAGGTGTCGCTCCAGCAGTAGTTCACAACAGATAATTAGTAGGTGAGGATGGCAGTCCATGCAGATGGCAAGTCCGCTCTGCAGGTTGCAGCTTGTGTGCTCGCTGGAGGGCAGGGAACTCGCCTTGGTTTTGTCCATGGCTGAGTTGACCAAGGCTTTCAGCAGTGCGTGGCCATGAATTCATCGTACTTCATCAAGTCGTTATGACTTGCAGTCTCAGTTGCCCTTTATATAACTATATATATATACATATACATATACATATGTAATCATATAAGATCATTATATATCCTTTGTGTGGCCAGATTTGTGTCAGGATGCCAAAGATTGGCTGATGCTCAATGTTCGGGTCGGATTAGTCCAAAAGTTCAACTCGGAATGGTCCATTGTTTTCATGTTCATGGTGATCCGTTTGGCTCAAGCAATTTTTGGTCATAGCTGCGCAGATATTTCTTACATTTCTCGGCTTTTCCTTTGACGGCCATGACGACTGAGACTTTGAAGATCAGCGATGGCACCATCATGGAGATCACCAGGGTCCCTGACATTGACGACGAGACTTGGGGTGAGGTAAGAGGAGTGGCCAAAAAATGCCAAAAACAAGATGGACAATGATCGAGTTTTGTGTTCTTAGATGTTCTTAGATTCAGGGATTGTGCTATGATTGTTTCAGACTCTCCTTGATATGGACTCCGACTCAGTACATTTTGAATACTATGATGTAAAGGGGATCC